CTATCTATCTATCTATCTATCTATCTATCTATCTATCTATCTATCTATCTATCTATCTATCTATCTATCTATCTATCTATGTGTAGAAATATCCATAGCACTTAAACATTTACACATTTTGAAGCAGTACATTCAATGAAATGATATGTGATTGACTATCACAGAGTAGAGCAAGCTCTAGGAAAATATGTACAATTTAAAATGTTTTCCCTGATAGAGAAATAAAATAAATTGTGAACATTTAATTGGCTTGAGGTCATCTTAACTCGGATAAAATTAAATAAAAATCAGGCATAATCAACCATCCTCAGAATCCCCTGTATCCAATTTAAACCATGATAATCTGTGAAAGCCTTGGAGGCTTGCTACAGACATTTTCTAAAGACAACAAACAGCCTCATGGAGTCTAAGGAACAGCAGATATGTCAGGGACAGGGGTGTAGAGAATGTTAAAGCCAAGTAAGATTGCTAAACAAAACCTTAAGCTTTGGATGTATAATTTAAAACTGTTAATTTCATCATCTAAAATTGGTACCCAATGCAAATCATAGAGCATTAACAAGAGCAGCTATCATGAAGCCTCCAAATATAAATCATGAGCTCCACAAATCTGGATGTAACGCAAGAATATGATAAAAAGTTTTGATTGAAAGAAAGCCATTAGATAATTTAAAGTCTGTTAAGGGCAAAAGGAGGGGATTCTGGTCAGATGATACCAAAGGTGAACTTTTTGGACCACATGTAAATTGATAAGAGACAAAATTGTCCATTTAAGAGGGGAGAGAGAGTCTGCTTATCTTTAATAGAAGGTGGTTGGAGCTAAATGTTGGGCAAGAATCATGAAACTTGCTGAGGTAGAAAACACAAGTGTGTGAACCCTCCTGAAGGACACCAGCCTTGAAAATCAGTCAGAACAATAATGAAACGACCACAACGACGCTTACTGTATGTTTCTACATCTAAGTTTAAAGTTATGACAAACATCATCAGGAGCTTCAGATCTATGTTTAAGATGCTCTCCATCCTTTCTGGCTGAACTTGAACGTTGAACCTTGAACTTGAATGTTTCTAGATGCATATAGTTTGTGGTGTGATATACCAAAATACTAAGCTAACTACATGACTTCTGAGGGAAATCTGTTGCAGTAGATTTTATTTAAGGGTATCAGATTAAAGGGGACTGAAGGCAAAACCGCGTCATTCATTCTATATTTTAATGTATGATTTTTTTTTTTTTTAAATTAACACCAGCAAGGCTGGTATGAGAATTATTTTCAAACAAAAATGGCTTTTGTGAGCATGAACAGATCTTTTTTTTCGTTTAGTTTAATGGCAGAAAATGTCACAGTTTATTTTTGAGCTTTTGTTTGTATAAAAAAAAGATGAGTACTGTCCTACAAGATGAGCTATGACATAATAAATACTCACCTGGAAGCCCAGGAGGTCCTGGTTGGCCTTTAGCTCCTCGTACAGTGGGTCCTCTTGACCCTCTGTCTCCCATATCACCTGTAGCATATAACAGTATCTTGTACAATTTGTTCCTCCTTTTTTACTTCTAGTTTTGCATCTAAAAAAGATTAAAAAAATACTCTCATCACCTTTAGGACCTTTATTTCCCATTGGCCCCAGTGGCCCTTTCAGTCCTGGAAGCCCTCTTGCTCCAGCTTGTCCTGGAAAGCCGCTGTTTCCTGGGGGCCCAGGAGGCCCTGGAGGACCCGGTTTTCCTGGCAAACCTGCAGCGCCAGACTCCGGCCTCCGTAAACTGGCAGCTAACTGAGCCAGCTGCTCTGTTGAGACATAAAACAATAAAGAAAATTGTCAGCATGAATGCTCCTACACAGCCGATAGCTATGAAGGGATCTTTAATTAAAATCATGCATTAAGCTCATGTGGCCTAATGCTTGCTGCAGTGAGGATCCCACTTTTTCTGCACTTATTGAATTCTCCAGTGATGTAAAACCTTGGTCACATCATCCCTCCAGCTCCTTCTGTTATTCAGCCTTTCTTTAAATAAGCATCACTAATCTGAGCCTAACACAGATAATATTCATAATTTACAGCTATATGAAGGTGCAATTCATGTCCACAGTGCCAACAGACTAAAATTAATCTTCTGTGGCGTTTATCTTTCTATCTAGATTTCACTTCCCTAGTATCTTATGGAAATGCATGCAGCAACTGTCTGACTGCTCCCTCTCTTAAGATTTCCTCTCCAGGCTGACTTCGCTCAGAGCAGGTCTCCTAGAGGTGAGATTAATTTTTCAACACGCCGAATATAAAAAAGTCATGAGAGCAGGAGATGAGTTGTGAAGATGTAAGAGCAGAAGAATGAAGAGAGCAGATGTTGTGACTTCAGTGAAACATTTCGAAGGGCTCAGAGAAGGATGCTTTCATCCATCACATGAACGGAGGCTGAAGCTTATTTCATGTTTCTGTTATGAGAGCCTCGATTTTTCAAGCACAGAGCATCCGACAACAGTCCTGATCAATGAAATGATGCTTTTAAGTGTGGCAATGAGAAAGATTACAGCCATGAAATAGGACACAAGGGAATAATAAATGGGGTCAAAAGCTTTGCTATTCTTTTCTTACCTTGCATAACTCGCATGCAGACTTGCCTGATGTGCTGATCAGTTGGCTCTTTACCCTTAAAAGGAAAATATATCTTTATCTTAATTCTTTTCATTGAATTACCAAAACATTTATTCACTCTATGATACAGCTTAATAATTTTTTTTAGCTAAAAGTAAACATATTTTATTATGCTCTTGAATAATAAAAAAGTACATTTTGTCCTTTCATTTTATATCAAATGGTTTAAAAACACAAGATTTCATATATTTTATAGTCTTCGCTGAAGTTGATAAGAAAACATTCAGTATTTGTAGCGGCTGACAAATGAAGAAAAGCTAGGTGGGATTCATTTTAAACAAAGTTTGATTTAATCCATGTTGTTTTCAATTACATGACTGTGCTTAAAATTTGCACCAGTCCTATTCTATGCCAGATAAACCTATCACTTCTGTCTCAAGTTTTTTTTTCTTTTTCCTGTTTTTATATTCCGGCAAATGATGAAATAGATCTAGAGGAGAGAGTTTCCAAAAACTGTTTATCATTTAAAAGCTGCTGTGCACAAGGTGTCTGAGTTCCAATTTTTTTGCGAATTATTGCAGAATTTGGAGTGTTAGGACAAATGTTGCTGATGTTGCTCTGTATGTTCATTTCTTTGCTGCCAAATATGAGAAAATGTATCTTTAAATTTGTGTTTCAAAAATGGATTTTGAATGAAAAGTGTTTAAAGTACAGATGTACCAATCCGGGCCATGTTAGTCTTTACATTTAGATATTTTATCCTCTCTAAGGATTATGGCACAAATAAAAAAGGTACTCAATACAAATCCAGCCAAAACTGAAGGAATTACAGGATGTTCCCCATTTGTGCATCAATAAATTCATGTGTCATCATATTCTTATAAAATAAAAAACAAGGCTGATGAATTTTAAAGCATTGAAAACAAACAAAAACAAAAAAATAGGGAAGGTGATGGATTTAACTAGTTTAAAAGCATATGTTCAATATTAGGTTAACCTTTTTTTTTTTACAGGGTTTTGTAAATATATCTTAGTTGTTTTAATGTTACATAGTCTTATTCAACTTTAAACTGAATTATTTTCTTAAGCTAAGTATTTGGTCAAATATCAAATTTGCATGAATATAATTTCTGAGCAGATTAGAGCAGATTTGAGGGGCAGATTAGAGCAGATTAGAGGGGACTTGTAAATTTGTCATTTATTTAAACATTTCATTTGGTTTGATTTTTGCATGTCACTATCACTTTACTTGGATTTAGTTATATATATATGCATATATATACATATATGTAGATATACAGAAGAGTTATATGTGTATATATTTACATCTTTATTATCTTGTGTGGTTGGTTGT